GGCCATAGGGGACAGTGGAGACACTAGATGGAAGGCCTGGTCATTTCATGAATGCAAGGAGAAGAAACCCAATCCATTGGCCCCAACCATCCCACTACACATTGTGACTTGCGTGAAGCATAAGCCTTTATGGAGTTAAGTCACTGAGATATTGGTATTGTTAGCCTACCATGACTAACATACCTTGTATTTATCACCGATGGTAGCATAAGTGAAGAGAACCCCTGGACTTATCTCTAGGACCTGAGATACAAATTCTGGCTCTATCAGTGTGGTGCAGGAATCTCAGATCCATCTGCCCCTTCCTGTGCAGGTCTGTGCAGGTCGTGAGTCAGGTAATTGAAAGAAGATACTGGCAGCTTTACGCAAGGTAGACATACTTTATTCTTCAGATATGAACTTCACAGACATACTTTATTCTCAGACACAACCTCAGGCTCTACTCCACTGACCCTCCATGCTCTGCCTTCCTTCCATGCTCCACCAACCAGCGGTTCAGAGCAGTTACCTTTATACTTTTAGTAAACAATAGTGGCCACAAGTCAAGCATTACATAATTACAACAATCATGCTGGATCAGTAAATGGGCACACACGAGCAGTTACACTACTTTTATGACTTGTTTCTAGTGAATGTGCTGAATCTTGCCCATTTGTAACAGATGTAAGGTGAGATCCTAACTAAACTTTTTCTACTTTCCTTACAACCGCTCCCCCTATGTATGCCACGATCTGCTCCTAGAATATGCTTTATACCTTTTCTCTAGTGTAAGTCTAGCACATTCTCCTCTTTCACATTATCTAACCTTCCCACTCTTCTCTGCCTGAATATTTCTGTGAGGGCTTCTCTGACCTCCCTCCTATACATGGCCACTTCTCTTTGCTCCCACTGCAGAATATATTCCTCTGTTTTAGCATCTATTGCATTTTATTTTTGCCATGTGTTTCCACAGACTAAGAGTCTTTGATTTCCCAGCATTTAGTTACAGTGTCTGGCACATAGCAGAAAATAAATATGTGTTAAAGGAACGATTGTCACATATGACCTTAAGTGAGTCACTTTATTTTTTAAGTCTATGAAATAAAATTTTACAGAATTGTTGTGATGATGAAATTATGAATATGAATGTGACTTGTAGGTAATAAGCGGATTCTAACAGTAATGTGTTATTCTCTGTTTTGCAGCCCCTTCTCATATTTTCCAGTTAAATTCATTTTAATGCTTCAAGGAGCACTGCCCGCTAGAAATATAATACAAGCCAAATTTGTAATTTTAAAACTTTTAGCAGCCTCATTAAAAAAGTTAAAAGTAGGTGAAATTAATTTTAATGATATGTTTAACCCAATATATCCAAAATATTGCTCAGGGGCTATTTAACATTTTAAAAATTAAGTCCTCTAAGTCTGGTGTGCATGTCACCCTTACAACATATCTCTATTCAAATGTCACATGTAGCTAGTGGCTCCGGCAAATTGGACAATACAGCTGCAAAGCCTACCTCAGACAGCACCATCTTGGTAAAGTCAACCTGACTGTCCCTCATTAGAATTAATGACTGCTCTTCAACGCTTTCTCAATATCTTCGTTATCTTGACACCTGGAGGGTAAATAAGCTCCTCGGGGGTGTCCGAAGTGTTGTCTCGAGAAATTGCTGTCACAGCAACGGTCTGGCCTATAAGGGCGGATATTAAATTCGAGGTAATTAATAAACCCGTGTGCAAAGAACCTTGTGAGAAGCCCAGGGGCCAGAATGGAAAATGGTCAATCAGGAAAGAAGGCGGGCGGGCGGCCTCGGCGGACCGGAGTCCGGGCTTCTGCCCGCTCGGGGGCGCCGGAGCTGGCCCCGCCCCGCG